CTTTCTTTTCTCTCCAAAACTCTTGAGCCTGCCGTCTCTAGCCAACTCTCCTGCTATCTCTCTCAGAATGACCTTCTTGATCCAAACCAGTCAGGTTTCAAGACTGGTCATTCAACTGAGACTGCTCTTCTCTGCATCACGGAGGCTCTCCACACTGCTAAAGCTAACTCTCTCTCCTCTGCTCTTATCCTTCTAGACCTATCCGCTGCCTTTGATACTGTGAACCATCAGATCCTCCTCTCCACCCTCTCCGAGTTGGGCATCTCAGGCGCGGCTCACTCTTGGATTGCGTCCTACCTGACCGGTCGCTCCTACCAGGTGGCGTGGCGAGAATCTGTCTCCGCACCACGTGCTCTCACCACTAGTGTCCCCCAGGGCTCAGTTCTAGGCCCTCTCCTATTCTCTCTATACACCAAGTCACTTGGCTCTGTCATATCCTCACATGGTCTCTCCTATCATTGCTACGCAGACGACACACAATTAATTTTCTCCTTTCCTCCTTCTGATAACCAGGTGGCGAATCGCATCTCTGCATGTCTGGCAGACATATCAGTGTGGATGTCGGATCAACACCTCAAGCTGAACCTCGGCAAGACAGAGCTGCTCTTCCTCCCGGGGAAGGACTGCCTGCTCCATGATCTCACCATCACGGTTGACAACTCCAATGTGTCCTCCTCCCAGAGTGCAAAGAACCTTGGCGTGACCCTGGACAATACCCTGTCGTTCTCCGCTAACATCAAAGCGGTGACCCGATCCCGCAGGTTCATGCTCTACAACATTCGCAGAGTACGACCCTACCTTACACAGAAAGCGGCACAGGTCCTAATCCAGGCACTTGTCATCTCCCGTCTGGATTACTGCAACTCGCTGTTGGCTGGGTTCCCTGCCTGTGCCATTAAACCCCTTCAACTTATCCAGAACGCTGCAGTCCGTCTGGTGTTCAACCTTCCCAAGTTCACTCATGTCACCCCGCTCCTCTGCACACTCCACTGGCTTCCAGTTGAGGCTCGCATCTACTACAAGACCATGGTGCTTTCCTACAGAGATGTGAGGGGAACGGCACCTCCTTACCTTCAGGCTCTGATCAGACCCTACACCCAAACGAGGGCACTACGTTCATCCACCTCTGGCCTGCTTGCTCCCCTACCTCTACGGAAGCAGTTCCCGCTCAGCCCAGTCAAAGCTATTTGCTGCTCTGGCACCCCAATGGTGGAACAAGCCCCCCCACGACGCCAGGACAGCGGAGTCACTGACCACCTTCCGGAGACACTTGAAACCCTACCTCTTTAAGGAATACCTGGAATAGTATAAAAGTAATCCTTCTTCCCCCACCCCCCATAAAAAAAAAAGTGGATGTTTTCTTTGATACCAACGACAACACAGACACTTCCCCAGCTGTATTGTGGGAAACACTGAAGGCTTATTTGAGAGGCTGTATCATCTCCTTTCAGGCTGCCAGGAGAAGGCAAAGCAGAGAAAAATTTGTAGAATTGGAGGGACAAATTCACTTACTGGATAGGGAGAATGCTAGTCATCCATCTATTGAGAAACAGAAAAAAATAATCTGATTCTCTCAGCTAAAATTGCAAAATCTTTACTCTATTCCAAACAATAGTATTTTGAGTTTGGTGATAAACCGCACAAATTACTTGCCAGACAACTTTGAAAAACTGAGAGTGACCGAATGATTCACAAAGTTAAATCTTTAACTGGGGAATTTCTCTCTTCCCCCAAGGACATCAATGAAAGATTCCGTCAGTTTTACGAGACTCTATATAGATCTGAAGCAGATCCAAACCCAGGAAGAACCAGGAAGATTTTAACTTCCTGAATAAGGAAATATCTGTCTGAGAAATTTGAGAAACAATTAAATCTCTAAAGAGTGGCAAGACCCCGGGCCCAGATGGATACCCTGGTGAATTCTATAAAACATTCAGCAACATTCTCTCTCCCTACCTGCTCAAACAGTTTGTTCAGGCCAATGAGGATGGAGCTCTCCCATCTACCTTGGATGAGGCGTTTATTACAGTTATACATAAAAAGGGTAAAGATCCAGAAGTAGGGTCATACAGACCAATATCCCTCCTCAATACAGACCAAAAGATCTTAGCAAAAACTCTGGCTAACAGGCTTAGCACTTTAGTGGGCAAATTGGTCCATTCGGACCAGACCGGCTTTATCCCTAACAGAAACTCATTCTTCAATCTCAGGCGCCTCTTCAACATTATGTATTCTCAGAGGTTACCTAACGTGGACCATGCCGTTATATCTCATTGACGCCGAAAAGGCCTTTGACCAAGTTGAGTGGTCCTATCTATTTAAGGTCCTACAGAAATGTAATATTGGAGATGGGTTCATAAAATGGATCCAGCTTCTATATAGGAACCCCTGTGCGAGAATACTCACTAACTAATCATTGTCGCCCCGATTTAACCTTTATAGAGGGACAGGGCAGGGTTGTGCGCTGTCGCCTCTGCTTTTTGCTATAGCCATTGAACCTCTCGCTCAAGCGATCAGATCTCACGCAACAAACTCTATACGCAGATGACATTCTCCTCTATGTAATGGAACCCCAATCTAGTATTCCAGCTATTCTTGCTGTGATGAACCTGTTTGGTTCCTTGTCGGATACAGAATAAATGGGAACAAGAGTGAATTAATGCCCATACGGTTGCAAAACCCCTCTTGGTTAGAACTTCTTCCATTTGAGTTATCTTCAGATAAATTTACCTATCTAGGAATTGTAGTTACCAAACAATACTCCTCTCTATTTAAAGAAAAATGTCCCCTCTCTGATGCAAAAACTCAAGGCAAACACAATTTTGGAGAACTCTCCCAATTTCCCTGCTCGGAAGAATTAATACCATTAAAATGGTCTTCCTCCCACAACTGCTTTACCTATTCCAGAACATCCCGGAACTCATACCTAAGTCCTTTCATAAACAACTGGACTCACCTACATCTTCTGCACAGATTCTGTCAAACCTGGGCCCTGACAGTAAATCTCAGTAAGACAAAAATAATGGTGTTCCAAAAAAGGTCCAGTTGCCAGGACCACAAACACAAATTCCATCTAGACACCGTTGCCCTAGAGCATACAAAAAACTATACATACCTCGGCCTAAACATCAGCACCACAGGTAACTTCCACAAAGCTGTGAACGATCTGAGAGACAAGGCAAGAAGGGCCTTCTATGCCATCAAAAGGAACATAACATTTGACATACCAATTAAGATCTGGCAAAAAATACTTGAATCAGTTATAGAACCCATTGCCCTTCATGGTTGTGAGGTCTGGGGTCCGCTCACCAAACAAGAATTCACAAAAATGGGACAAACACTAAATGCATGACCATATTAGAGACACATATTTCCCTCAGATTACACAGACCCACAAAGAATTTGAAAACAAACCCATTTTGATAAACTCCCATATCTATTGGGTGAAATACCACAGTGTGCAATCACAGCAGCAAGATTTGTGACCTGTTGCCACAAGAAAAGGGCAACCAGTGAAGAACAAACACCATTTTAAATACAACCCATATTTATGATTATTTATTTTCCCATTTGTACCTTAACTATCTGCACATAATATGACATTTGAAATGTCTTTATTCTTTTGGAACTTCTGAGTGTAATGTTTACTGTTAATATTTATTGTTTATTTCACTTTTGGTTATTATCTACTTCACTTGCTTTGGCAATGTTAACATGCGTTTCCCATGTCAATAAAGCCCTTCAATTGAACATTGAATTGAGAGAGAGAGAGAGAGAGAGGTGTGGATACTCTGTTGACTACCCTAGAGAGAAAGAGGTGTGGATACTCTGTTGACTACCCTAGAGAGAAAGAGGTGTGGATACTCTGTTGACTACCCTAGAGAGAAAGAGGTGTGGATACTCTGTTGACTACCCTAGAGAGAAAGAGGTGTGGATACTCTGTTGACTACCCTAGAGAGAAAGAGGTGTGGATACTCTGTTGACTACCCTAGAGAGAAAGAGGTGTGGATACTCTGTTGACTACCCTAGAGAGAAAGAGGTGTGGATACTCTGTTGACTACCCTAGAGAGAAAGAGGTGTGGATACTCTGTTGACTACCCTAGAGAGAAAGAGGTGTGGATACTCTGTTGACTACCCTAGAGAGAAAGAGGTGTGGATACTCTGTTGACTACCCTAGAGAGAAAGAGGTGTGGATACTCTGTTGACTACCCTAGAGAGAAAGAGGTGTGGATACTCTGTAGGCTGGACATCAGAGGGTTGGAGTTAAGATCAGAATGAATGGTGATTTGCCGCTGTGGGTGAAAATCCAGCACTTAAAGAGGAAATGAGGAATATATGTATAATTATTTAACTACTGCAGATGTGAGAGAAATAGCTGTAAGGGTTAGAAGTATTGTTGTCTGCTAGTTTACTCTAATTAGGGATGGTATGGGGGAAAACAATAAGGGGGATTATAAATGATACAAACAATTACATTGATAGAACCTACAATCTATCTGCAATATTAAAGCTGATCTACCCCATATAGTGATACTGAGTCCATGTAGACTGTGTCAAAGAGCATCTTAAATAATTTCACAGCCCATCTTCCGAAAACATCTGAAACCCTACCTCTTCAAAGAGTATGTTAAATAATTCCACAGCACCCCCTTGCACCAGCTCCTCACCCCGACCCCCCCCCCCCCCCCCCCCCCCCCCCACACAAAAAAAGCCTTTTGTGAACTAACACTCGTACTTCACCTTTCCCCCCCCCACTAGCTCCTCACCCCGACCCCCTCCCCCCCCCACTACCTCTGACTCTGCTGATAGCTACTTTATTGAGGAAAAATGTACTTACTATGACTGAGATATGTGGTTGTCCCACCTAGCTATCTTCAGATGAATGCACTAACTGTAAGTCGCTCTGTATAAGAGTGTCTTACCTCACAGAACAGGGTTAGCTTGTCGTCAGGTAAAAGCCCGTTGGCTTCATCAAGCAGGAAATCTCTTCTAATAAACTTTTTGAAGCCCCAGTCCTTCCCCTGGACAAACCGATAGGCTCTTTGGCTTTCTGCAGGGAGGAGGCAGAATCCAAAACACACTTAGTTTGTGTCTATGAGGCTCTAACTAGGAGAATACAAGTAACTAGTATGTTTGTTGAATGATGATTTCCATAAAGTCAGTTGTGTTTGTTACTAACCCATAGCTTTAGTCTCTTCTCTTTTAGTGTTCAATAAGGAAAACTTGAACTTCGCTCTGACTTCACTTTTTGGACAACTAACAAGAAGTAAATACAACGACAGATAATCTTTGCTTTCATCATCCAGTCCTTTTGGGTTGACTCTCAGACACCTGGGCAGGAAACAGAGAAACACAACAGAATATTAGTTCTGGTACAGCCAGATCCAGTCCTTTTGGGTTGACTCTCAGACACCTGGGCAGGAAACAGAGGTGGAACACAACAGAATATTAGTTCTGGTACAGCCAGATCCAGTCCTTTTGGGTTGACTCTCAGACACCTGGGCAGGAAACAGAGGTGGAACACAACATAATATTAGTTCTGGTACAGCCAGATCCAGTCCTTTTGGGTTGACTCTCAGACACCTGGGCAGGAAACAGAGGTGGAACACAACAGAATATTAGTTCTGGTACAGCCAGATCCAGTCCTTTTGGGTTGACTCTCAGACACCTGGGCAGGAAACAGAGGAGGAACACAACAGAATATTAGTTTAGCAGAGGCTGTATTACCCGTCATTATTCACAACAAAAAAAAAGCTGTTGAGATCAAGATAATACTCTTTGTCCTGACTAGAAGCATTTTATAAGTATATGTATAATGAATTGATGACAGTATTTTTTTTATATATGTATATATATATATATATATATATATATATATATATATATATATATATATTTTTTTTTTTTTGTATTAATACAGCAAATGTTGTGACTAATGAAGTTTACCATTTCATCTTGTCATTGGGTCCAGAGGAGAAGGTGGAACTCTTTAAAACCTCCCCCATCTCCTCTCTACAGAAACTGAAGTTGTTGATGGTCCACATGTAGGAGAACTTCACTACTTTTACCTGAAACGAAAAGGCAACAATCACAACTGTTCTATCCATTTCAAAATACAGCCTGTGCTGTTGACAAGCAAGCTGTTTTTTTAGTTTGGATCCTGTGACGCTTGACATCAGTTGCTGGGACTGCTAGTCTCTGTCCAGTGATCCTGCCAACCAAGGCCGGGTCTGAGGAGCTATTTGGCGTAGCCGCTAGCCTAGCTGCCATCTTGCTGCGTAACAAGCTAGCAGGGTTTCTTGAGGGCTTGAACGCAGCCCGCGACACGGTTAGCCATTGCCAGATTGTCCCGGGTTTGTGGCTGTCTAGATCCCTGCTGTTTGTTGTTTCCCATCTTCCCTGTGACCTGCCCTGTCTGGAAGTGAAGGAGTAACAGCGTAACCTACGTTGCTAGCATGACAAAGACCAAAGCCGGCGGGAGTACCGTTGAGGACAATGGTGTCTATCACACGTGAAGGATATTTTAAACAAACAAAAATAGTTCTACAAGGTGTTGTTACAACAACAAGAAAATATCTTCAAGTGTTTTGTCCAAATAATGGTGGTGTCAACTAATAAAATAATGGACGACCTGACCAGAGAGGTCCAGGACCTGAAGAACAGTTTGACCAGAGAGGTCCAGGACCTGAAGAACAGTTTGACCAGAGAGGTCCAGGACCTGAAGAACAGTTTGACCAGAGAGGTCCAGGACCTGAAGAACAGTTTGACCAGAGAGGTCCAGGACCTGAAGAACAGTTTGCAGTTCTTCCAGGGTCAGCTCGATGAGTGGAAACAGGAGAACAGCAAGATGACAGCAATCTGTAAGTTATTGAGAGAGGACATCAGTTCTGTGTGTGAATCCATGATAACAATGAAGGATAAATCAGACAAGGGGGACAATCAAGACGGAACAACGTTGTGGATGGAATTGCAGAATCTCCACGAGACCTGGACGGAGTCTGAGGACAAAGTGAGGGAAATGATCTCTGAGAAACAGAAGATTGAGGTGGAGCCCACAGGACTGGAAAACCCACCACCGGTGACAGGCCCAGGCCGATAGTGGTCAAGTTCCTGAGGTTCAAGGATAAGGTAGCTGTTCTGGAAAGAGCCAAGAACTTGAGAGGAACAACAACTGTTGGCGCAATTATTAGAAAATTGAAGAAGTTCAAGATGACGGTCAATCACCCTCGGTCTGGGGCTCCATGCAAGATCTCACCTCGTGGGGCATCAATGATCATGAGGAAGGTGAGGGATCAGCCCAGAACTACACGGCATGACCTGGTCAATGACCTGAAGAGAGCTGGGACCACAGTCTCAAAGAAAACCATTAGTAACACACTACGCCGTCATGAATTAAAATCCTGCAGCGCACGCAAGGTCCCCCTGCTCAAGCCAGCGCATGTCCAGGCCCGTCTGAAGTTTGCCAATGACCATCTGGATGATCCAGAGGAGGAATGGGAGAAGGTCATGTGGTCTGATGAGACAAAAATAGAGCTTTTTGGTCTAAACTCCACTCGCCGTGTTTGGAGGAAGAAGGATGAGTACAACCCCAAGAACTCCATCCCAACCGTGAAGCATGGAGGTGGAAACATCATTCTTTGGGGATGCTTTTCTGCAAAGGGGACAGGACGACTGCACCGTATTGAGGGGAGGATGGATGGGGCCGTGTATCGCGAGATCTTGGCCAACAACCTCCTTCCCTCAGTAAGAGCATTGAAGATGGGTCGTGGCTGGGTCTTCCAGCATGACAACGACCTGAAACACACAGCCAGGGCAACTAAGGAGTGGCTCCGTAAAAAGCATCTCAAGGTCCTGGATTGGCCTAGCCAGTCTCCAGACCTGAACCCAATAGAAAATCTTTGGAGGGAGCTGATAGTCCGTATTGCCCAGCGACAGCCCCGAAACCTGAAGGATCTGGAGAAGGTCTGTATGGAGGAGTGGGCCAAAATCCCTGCTGCAGTGTGTGCAAACCTGGTCAAGACCTACAGGAAACATATGATCTCTGTAATTGCAAACAAAGGTTTCTGTACCAAATATTAAGTTCTGCTTTTCTGATGTATCAAATACTTATGTCATGCATTAAAATGCAAATTAATTACTTAAAAATCATACAATGTGATTTTCTGGATTTTTGTAAGAATGCTGTTCATTGACTATAGCTCAGCATTCAACACCATAGTACCCTCCAAGCTCATCATTAAGCTCGAGGCCCTGGGTCTGAACCCCGCCCTGTGCAACTGGGTCCTGGACTTCCTGACGGGCCGCCCCCAGGTGGTCAAGGTAGGAATCAAACATCTCCACTTCGCTGATCCTCATCACTGGGTCCCCACAAGGGTGCGTGCTCAGCCCCCTCCTGTACTCCCTGTTCACCCATGACTGCGTGACCAAGCACGCCTCCAACTCAATCATCAAGTTCGCAGACGACACAACAGTAGTAGGCTTGATTACCAACAATGACGAGACCGCCTACAGGGAGGAAGTGAGGGCTCTAGGAGTGTGGTGCCAGGAAAATAACCTCTCCCTCAATGTCAACAAAACGAAGGAGCTGATCGTGGACTTCAGGAAACAGCAGAGGGTGCACCCACCTATCCACATCGACGGGACCGCAGTGGAGAAGGTGGAAAGATTTAAGTTCCTTGGTGTACACATCACTGACAAACTGAAATGGTCCAGCCACGCAGACAGTGTGGTGAAGAAGGCGCAACAGAGCCTCTTCAACCTCAGGAGGCTGAAGAAATTTGGCTTGGCACCTAAAACCCTCACAAACTTTTACCGATGCACAATTGAGAGCATCCTATCGGGCTGTATCACCGCCTGGTACGGCAACTGCACCGCCCGCAACCGCAGGGCTCTCCAGAGGGTGGAGCGGTCTGCCGAACGCATTACCGGAGGAAAACTACTCGCCCTCCAAGACACCAACAGCACCCGATGTCACAGGAAGGCCAAAAAGATAATCAAGGACTTCAACCACCCGAGCCACTACCTGTTCACCCCGCTATCATCCAGAAGGTGAGGTCAGTACAGGTGCATCAAAGTTGGGACCGAGAGACTGAAAAACAGCTTCTATCTCAAGGCCATCAGACTGTTAAATAGCCATCACTAGCACATTAGAGGCTGCTGCTGCCTATTGAAATCACTGGCCACTTTAAGAAATGGAACACTAGTCACTTTAAAAATGTTTACATATCTTGCACTACTCATCTCATATGTATATACTGTATTCTATTCTATAATATTCTACTGTATTTTAGTCCATGCCGCTTTGTCATTGCTTGTCCATATGTATATATTCTTAAATTCCATTCCTTACTAGATTTGTGTGTATTGGGTAGATATTGTGAAATTGTTAGATGTTACTTGTTAGATATTACTGCACTGTCGGAGCTAGAAGCACAAGCATTTCGCTACACCCGCAATAACATCTGCTAAACACATATGTGACAAATAAAATGTGATTTGATTTGAACAACGACGGGGACGAAGCCCAAAACAAACACGTAAACCCAAACAAAAGAGCGAGGTGTAAACCTCTAAACACACGGGAGGAGACCCGTAATAACAAGAGCACAATACACGGTACTCACAAGACCAACGGACATGGGACAATAATCGACAAAGACAATGGGGAACATTGAAATATACACATACTAAATCAGGGGGAACGGGTACCAGGATTGCGTAATGAGACAAGACAGTCTGGGGTTGGTGGTAATGAACCAGATTAGTGATGCCTAGAAGGCCGGTGACGTAGACCTCCGGAGCTGGTGAACGGAATGAGCAGCAGTACCGGGGGGATCGGTGACAGTACACCCCTCCCCAGCGAGACGACACTCGGGGATGAACACAGGAATGCGCCGCGGGTCGGTGAGGGCGCCAACGGTGAAAATCCCTGGTCAGCGAAGCATCCAAGATGTCCACCACAGGAACCCAGCACCGCTCCTCTGGGCCAGTCGATGAGGTACTGGAGACGCCACGCCCGATGCCTTGAATCCAGGACTTCATGGACCGAGTACGCCGGACCTCCCGCAATGTCCAGAGGAGGAGGCGGGGCGTCACTGGTCCAGCCTCAGCGAGGGGACCAGGCACCACTGGCCTGAGGAGAGACACATGAAAAGTCGGGTTAATGCGGTAATCAGCAGGGAGTTGCAAACGGTACGTTACCTCATTAACCCTCCTCAGAACTTTAAACAGCCCCACAAACCGCGGGCTCAGCTTCCGGCAGGGCAGGCAGAGGGGCAGGTTCTGGGTGGAGAGCCAGACCCGGTCGCCTGGAGAGACCCCAACACGCACTGGAAAGGAGTGAGGTTAGTGGAGGAGTGGCGGAGGGAATTCTGCGCGTCCTCAGCCCAAGGCAGAACATCCGCCCACTCCCCCATCCGGTCCTGACAGTAACACCTCAGGACCCTGCCCACTTCCTGATTGACCCTCTCCACCTGCCCATTAGCTTGAGGACGGTACCCGGAGGTGAGACTGACTGTGACCCCCAGGCGTTCCATGAATGCTTTCCATACGCGTGTGTTGAACTGAGGACCACGGTCTGACACAATGTCCCCCGGGATCCCGTAGTACCGGAAGACATGCGTAAAAAGAGCGTCCGCGGTTTGCATGGCCGACGGGAGCCCAGGCAGTGGAAGGAGGCGACAAGCTTTGGAAAACCGGTCCACCACGACAAGAACGGTGGTGTTCCCCTGTGAGGGGGGAAGGTCAGTGACAAAGTCCACCGAGAGGTGAGACCAGGGTCGTTGTGGAACCGGCAGGGGAAGGAGCTTTCCATTAGGGAGGTGTCTTAGACTGGGCACAGATGGAGCAGGAAGAGACGTAAACCCGGACGTCCCTAGCCAAGGTGGGCCACCAGTACTTCTCAGTCAGGCAGGCGATGGTACGGCCTATCCCAGGATGACCCGACCCAGGAGCCGTGTGCGCCCAGGAAAGGAGGCGGTCACGCACACCCGTGGGCAAGGAGGCGCGGTTCTCCGGGCACGGTGAGGGTCAGTACGCAGGGCCTGAAGAATGTCGGCAGCCACGTCCC